ATTTAGGACCGGTATTGCGTATAGACTCTAACACACACACACACACACACACACACACACACACAAACTTGTGTGTATGTAAGATAATTAGCAAAACCACTCTATATTCATCTAGGTTTTTAATTTTTTATGTTCTTTTGGCGTAACTGAGTCTATATAAAGAGTAAGATAGAGCCGGATGTTTCTTGCTTTAGTGCTAACGTGAGACTTTAATAAGAATGACACCAAGCTCTGATGATGTACATTGAATGATGGACGAAAGCTCAGCACGCGTCAACATGAATATCGTATAAAATCCAACCGGCTGCAGTACAGCGAGATTCATCCGTCCTCATCTGGTAAGATCAACCAACGAATCTCTTCTTCATGCACTTTCATACGAAATGAAGGTCCCCCCAACAATGTCTTTACATAGTAAATGTATATCCATCTATTAAGTAAATATTGATAGACATCAGAAGATGGGACAAAGGAGTTCTATGAAACTCAGGTTTCACTATAGGCTTGATATAAAGTAACGTAGGAATATCGAAGATACGGGGAGCAAGATGGTGTGGTATGGTCGCAGTCTCCTTTCGATGTATACAAGTGGGTTGACCTTGTTTTCCCAACTTGATCTGGTTGTCAGGGCGGCTTAGCTAAACGCACTTTACTCGAAGTCGTCTGCCCTGGTCGTTATCATCTACGGTCTGATGCTGGGAATTATGATAGCTACTATGTTAAAGAACTTCGGACAAGGTTCGTTCAATAAAGTTGCCTTGACAGCAAGACCAAGTTGTGAAAACTAAATCAACCCACTTCTAACGTAGGAATAGTTTAAAACACGCTGGTTGAGTGATTTAATCGCCAAGTTATGACCAAGGGTCGCTATGGATTGGATGGATGTCAGTTCATCTGTAGCAATTTAAGAAAAAGGAGGCCTTAGTCCTAAATAATGTGCCCGTAAAATGATAGACAAATTCGGATAATTTACGGAGAATCTCTGGAGGCGTCTGCTTCAGAGGCAAGAAAAGCCTTAACTTCACTTGCAGTTAAGGTGCGATGATGACCCATGTCTCGATGGTTCGCCACAATAAGGACCGGCAGATCTCCAGGAACGCGCGGCAGCTCACGCTTAATGTAATCAAACGTCCTGAGAAAAAATAAATCATTGCATAAATAATGAAGCAATCGACATTATTATATATAAATATAGTGGCGAATGAAAATAAAAAGTAGTTGGATTAGAAAACAGGAAACAAGTATATCCTCTAAGCTTGTCAATACTGTGCTTTTTGTATGGAAAATTTTAACAAAAAAAGGAAAGAATAGGATGGTCTTTGAAAAAACTTGAATTGTAAAACTAAAAAGAATGCTATGAAAAGCAAATTGATATTCCAGAGCGCCAGCCGGTCATAAGGGTACCATTAGGGGGTGGGAAAAAGAGTTGTGTTTTCTTTCTGCTTCCAAATGCCACCATGTTTTCGCAACTTGGTCGGAACGACAGAGAAACCTCGCAAAAAGTTATAGTCCTGCGTCATCTGTCATAGTATTCGTGATTTTCAGCATCAACCCATTGACTTGGTACATTGCCGGACATTTCGCAACTTACAACAGACTTACAACTCAACAAAGTGACAGTGAAGACAATACTCTTGACGGATTTTTAAATCAGCCATTTTGGCATTATTCCTGGCCCCTAATTGTTGTAATACCTTCCAGTACAGCATTGCCTTCACATAATCAAACTTAATATCGTCAATTTACCTATTCACACCATTCTGCGCCCTTGTGTCCTCCAACGTCGCCCAAAATTGGGTCGCTACAAGTTGATTTAGTGAAACGTAATCACCTTCACTTTCGGTTTCAGATGCCGTTTGCAGAGCTTAGGTTCATGACTTCTTACTTTCTCTTTCCATCCCGCTTATCAGATAGTGCCTATTACACATGAAAATCACTGTCGTGCTGGCTATGAGCTTTCGACTCATGTCCGTGTTGACGGCACATTCGAGGATTTAGAGCCCATGACGCACATGTCTAGGCATCTTCCTTTCCTCTTAGGCTTCAGATCACTTTCCAGTGTCTAGCTTAATTCGGAATTGCGGATGTGAAAATGTACCGATTCTCGTCTTGAAAGTCCCATCGAATCCTAAGATTTAGTCCGTTTCACATGTGTATGTTAATTTGTGCACCCCTAGTCAGGCATGTCACCAGTCACCTCTCAGTACGACACACACACACACAAAACGCACACAAACACTGGGAACAAAAAGAGATTGTGTGCCATATACCTCCTCCAACAGGTGGGTATACACCGGTAACGTCAAGATGATTGCATGTTTGTATCCTCTCAAGTGCAATCGCATTTTTTTACTTTCCTTTGAGCCTCATGATCCTCTTCGTAACGATGCCTTTTCCAGTTGTCGGCTAATTGTCCTGGTGACAAATGTCTTTTTTTGTTGTTGACTTCACTGAATCTCCAAGTCTGCCCAGACTCTTCTCCCCTCCAATCTCCTGTTCATCAGATTTATCTAGAAGAATGTCCACGGCCTTCCTGATCTTCCGTTTTCTGATGTTCTCCTCAAATTAGCCCAATCTTTCAGCTGCCCTCAAGTCAACTATGTGGCCGGCTATGGAAATGTGTTAAGCTATCTTCGATATTTCGGTATTCATTATTCTGCATAGGCGCTGGTGTTCATAGATTCTTGTGCTGTTTGTCTATTCAGTCTCTTATATGTACATTTGCTAACTCCATTTTGTTGACTTCTTCATATTGTGCGGAAAAGGTGCTATAGAGGGTTGTCCTTT